AATCCCGTTATCCGTTCACTCGAAACATACATATTGTATGCTATTATCGAAACTCACATCACTTGTGGTCATATCAGCGCTGTTTATGTCCTATTGTTTAGTAAAAATAAATTCAAAATTAATTTTTGAAATTTTTGATGACATCAATGAATACTTTGAAACATATGGCGAGAAAAGTTGCTTATATTCACACAAATCAACCATAATATTCATCATTATCCAAACCACATTGTATATATTGTCGCTTACCCTGATATTCACATCGCCATCACTGGATACGACGTTTTACCTATTATAAAATTTAATCACCATGCTTGTTTTACTATATTCTACGTGAATGGTTGGCTATTATCGCTATTGTTCCTGTATTACGAGATTAATATCCGATATCTCAGTGTTTTGGAGGTATTTTATACCCGGATGAAACATATAAGGATTTTACCGCCAAATTACATGCTGTTTGCCATTAATAAGGCAATTACTGATTTTCGGCAAAATGAACTGGTCTTGTTCAAAAATATATATTCTCTCCAAAAGTATATAATTGCTGTAATAATGGCCACAAATTTGGATTTCATATGTTATGCCATTTATGCGGTCAATGAGTGCAACACTGTATTCAATGTATCGATTGTTGTCTATATGTTTGTCTTAAATACATATTTTCTCGCCAATCAATTGGTTATATTATTTAAACAGAAAACCTTATATAAAATATATGAGACGTTAGATAACTGGCACTTATGTCTATCTGTTGACAGAATATAATATGAATATGAATACAGTATAATGTTTCACAAAATACCTAATAATAAATTTATATTAAAATACAACATTTATGTAACTTATATTAAAATTATATTTTTAAATTAAATTTGGTTTTACTGTTTACTACTGTATAATACAGTATATTAACTGTATGTTAACTGTAATGTAAAAATTTATAATGATGTGAGTGGATTAAAAATATTAAATATATTTTACTTTTCAATTAATTATCAATAAAAATAAAGGGCTTAAAACTATTTATATAAGAGTAAATCGACATTCAGATCCGACCTCGATATAATCACTTGTAATATAACTTATACATTTTATTATTTTAATTTAATAAACATATTTAATTTATTTTAAAAAATCTATGACTTGAGGTTACGCGTAAAATATTTGTGAATTATTTTCAATAACACATTACTATTTATTGTACTGATATATTTGTTAAACATCAAAAATATTCATAAAAATACTCAATATTTAGCAAAATTGTGGTAAAAATAAGAAAAGATTCAAAACAGTTGTTATCAGATTTCATCGGCGATTGCATTTCGTCCCCAAAAAACACTTAATAATTAATGATTGAAAACACACTTCAATAACACCACAAGTTTCGCGATTATAAGCACAGATTTATATCACATTTGAAACACTTTTCAATTTCACTGTTTTCTGGTAAAACAAGTTTTACATTCATTTCGTACTTTAAAATCAAAAGTTTGTTACAAATAAATTGCCTGAACATTTTAAATCCAAATAAAAACACCGAAAACAATGAAATTAGTGCTGATTTTGGTCATATATATCATACACTCCATCACCGGTCAAGTGGTGGTCGACAACAGCCACCAACTGTTGGGTGAGTTCCCGACCTATGCCCACGGGCTGACCGGTCAGGTGTTTGCCGACCTGTCGGACCCCCAGTTGCGTACGATTCGCATCAAAAACCTCAACTACGACGGGTCGGCACCGGACGCCTACTTCTGGGCCGGCATTACCGATGAGCCCGACACCAGTGGCTTCATTATACCCGACGAGAACGGCTCCGTCCGGCCCCTCAAGGGCTACCAAAACGCCGATATTGTGTTGAGACTACCGGTCGGCAAGAGTTTGAATGACATTAAATGGCTGTCCGTTTGGTGCCGCAGATATCGCGTCAATTTCGGTGATATTAAACTTAATTAACTCATTGTAGCCCTAATTATCAAGGTTATTTTGTAGCCAAATAAATTTAATTGTCATTTAAAATGTGTTTTATTCTGTGAATGTATAGTTAAACATAAAATTATTTGCAATGTTATATTAAAGTAAATTTTATATTATTTAATAGCTTTTAACTCAGAAAATGAATTATTTACTAAAAATGCAAACAATTCTTAATAAATATAATTTTTAAAAATAATATTTGATAATAAGTGCAAATTATTTAAATACATTTTCAAATTTATTTAATGTTTATTCAGACATAAATTGGGATAAGAAATACATAAGAAATTCATTTTATGTCATTTTCTAAGCAATAGATTTAAATTACAAAGTCATATACCTTAAGTTAAATTAAACTTAAACAATTTAAGTTAAGTTAAGTTAAGTTAAACAATTATACTTACATTAAATTACATTTTGTACTCAAAATATGTAAAAACAGACATTTGTGTTTAACACATGAAAAAAATATTACAAAATTTTTATATTACATTAGATTAAAGAGATTTTACTATACAATAGATTATGTAATGTTTTGATTAGAAATTGATTTTTTCAAATCAAATAAATTGCAACACAAAACTAAATCATAAAAATTAAACTTACGTTTAAAGTACATTATATAAAACATATGGTAATAAAAAAAAAGTACAGCAATGAAAACTATTTGTTTACACAAAACAAATCTGTCATTCATTTCAAAATAACAAAATTTTGTTTAATATCAGAAATAATATTATGTTTTATGACTTTAAATCTTACGAATTGAATGAATAGAGTAATCGTAATATGAAATCAGCAATGAATAGACAAATCCATTGATTTAAATGTATTAATGGACTAATAGTTTGAGAAAATGAGCACAAAATAGGAGTCAGAAATCTTTTACAAACGGATTTCGACCGCAAAGTCCTTTTCCTTTCCCTTGGGGTTCACAATGCGAGTGCCGGTCACACGGAATGCGTTGACAATCGTGGCCTCAAAGGTCACCTCCACATCACCCCTACGCGACTCATCCCTAAAGTCGCCGACCATTAGCCAGCCCTTCGACGCCGTCTTATCACCTCTGCCTCCGTTCGCCTTAAACTCGACTAATGGCTCACTCGTGACCTCAACCGTGAAGTTGTACTCCCGGTCCACCTCGTCCTCAGGTAAGTACAGACTGATCGCCTCCATCCACACGGGTTGGGACAGTATGCAGACTATGGGGTCGTTCAGAGCGCACACATAGAAGTATTTGTTGTCTTTTTTATGCCACGACTTGTACGTGAAATCACAGGCCAGGTCTTTGTACAAGTATTTCGAGGCCAACAGGTGGTCCCGGAGCCGCACTATACCCTGGGGCTCCTCATACACGGCCACTATGTTCTGGATTTTGCGCACCGGCTTCGACTCCTTGCGCTTTTCGGCCCAATCCGGGTAACTGATCGCTAAATGCGGACAAAACTATCATTTATTGCCCGAAAAAACACCCAAAACCGAGTGGACATACCATTGGACAGCCGTATATACCGGACCACTTGTGGGTCGAAATTGAGATCTAGTTTATTACTCGTGTGGTATTTGGTGAAGTCGTACAACAGCTGCCAGTCCTTCCTGTCCACAGAGGTCTCCAGTTTGAAGGCGTAGCGCACTTTGGAAGCCGACGACAGCATGAGTCCCAAGCCGTTGATGAGGTACAGGAGCCCTAAGTCCAGTTCCACGGCATTGGCCTCATCGCCGGTGTCGCCCACTTTGCCCTTCAGAACGCGTGTCGAGAGCGGCTGTTTGGCTCTGAGCGCCACCACATCGACGGCATCGGGAAGACAGTGGGCGCGCTCTCTGATGTCCGGCTTGTGCTCCGTTAGCTTCGCCTTCGCCGCCGATATCGCCGACAACTCCTCCACAGTTATGAGCCACGACTCGTCGCAGAACTTGCGGACAGTCGTCCAGATGTACTCGAATGGCAGCAGCGAAAAGCGAACGGCGCTCAACAGCCGCCGCTTATCTCCCTTTCCGTCGCCTATTGGATGGCATTTAACAGACATTTAAAACTCATAAATCATTTGAAAATCAAATTGAAAACTGATTCAAAAGGCGTATAATTATCACTAAAACAAGACTAGAGCGCAATGTATGGACTCATTACCGGTGATGTACTTCTTGACGGCCTCGAAGACTGTCTGCTCGTTGACGTTGAGATCGTGTCGCGAGAAGATAGCGAACATGTGGTCGACGTCCAGATCGAAGAACTCATCCAAATATAGCAACTCCTGGAGGTTGTGCGCGATGTACGCCAAACACGACTGTCCCGTCTGGGAGTCGATGGCGGCGTCGGCGTACAGTTGGACACAGTTGTCGGCATTCACTTTGATGTCCTCCATGTCCTGAATGGGTCGACTCAAGTCCCGCATATCGAACCGTTCGGCCAGTTGTCGGATCTCCGCCAACATCTCCGGCTCATAGCTCTCGAGGTCCAGACGCCCGGTGTATAGGTATCTCAACAGCTCTTTGAAGGCCGTCAGTGGCGTGTCCTCCATGTCTACTGTCGACTCGTCGTGGATCAGGTGTCGCCACTTGCTGTTGATGGACAGCACCAGCTTATGGCCTATGGATGGCACACAACAAACCGCATGAGACAATGGGTTAGAGATGTGGTGTCAATGACTCGACTCAATGTCACTGACAGACAGTGTCTGCGGACATGACTATCAATGGACTGACTCTAAGACAGCGCCTTAAGACACAGTCGCCGACACCGGCAGACATACCGTAGATGACGTCCGGCCCGAACTCGAACTTCACGTCCGAATAGTCTTTGCGAAGGTATAGCTCATGGATGTGGAGCAGGAGTTTGTCTTTGTGGTCGACCACCGATAGGGAACCGTTGGACCCATTATTGTGGCCGACGGTGTCCGTGGTGTCGATGCGCGCCCTCTTGTGCTTCAATGACATCATTTGGCAGCTGTTCCTCCGGGTCGGGGGTGTGTCGGCGCCAAATGGGGCGACACTTCACGTCTTGGGATCAGTTGTCTTCGAGTGTCAAAACAGACGATTGTTTTTGTGATTAATTTTTCGCCGAAAGTCTGTTTGCCTTCAAATGTCATGTCAATTACGAGCACTACTTTTGGCCCCCTTTTGCCCCCTTTTAGCGTATTTTTCGTGCATTTAGTTCTGGAATATGTTTACGTTGTTTATGAGTGTCAATGACTTAATAATACATAACGTTACGTATTTGTGAATGTTTGCGTCCCCTATCAAGTGTTTGTTGATAAATAAGCTAGTTAATTAATCTTAACTATAATTAAATGATTAGATATAACTATAGGTTGATTAGTTTGGTTTATATAGTTTATTTAATTATTAAAATTTGTTATAAATACACTTTATTTAATAGATCTTGGTAAAACACTCGCACACATAAATGCCAATTGAAATAAGATGCCGGTCCATTTAATAGTATTCATAAATATCGTCATATGCTAAGAATTATGACATAACTTTTGATTATTCTGTAAGTTTAATCAATTTTATTTGACCAAGAATAATAAAAAAATAATTATAGATTAATTAAAATTTTGTTTTTATTTTATAACATAATGCGTTATTATGTAAATTGCTAAAATAATAAATTTACTTAATTTAAACATTATCAAATACTCATTTATTTAATATAACTACAAGGAATATTCTTGGGATATACCTGTATATGAACGCAAAAAAATAAAATAAGTTATGTATCTAACAATTGTTATAATGATATATCAAATAATCAATATAAATCTATATTAAAGCACTATACTGTAGTACAATATAAAACTTAATTAAAAGTATAAGATTTAATGATATTTATATTTGTGCTTTATCATACAAACTATTTTTAGACTAACGTGTATGTTATTAATTATTAATGACATGGATGATTTCATTCCTTATACTCATATGTAATTCTATACCAAATATCTAAAAATAGGATTTATTAAACAAATTCATATATTATTAAATGTGTCGATAAATAAACTTCATACTAGACATAAGATTAATAGCTTGTTTTTTGCACTAAATTTCTTAATTCAGTGAAACACTAAATGTAGTTTTCTTAATATAGGTATTCAAATATAATTTACCTGTATGCTAATATTTCAATGAAAAAATGCAACCAATTTACAGAACATGCAAAACTCTCTCTCTCTCTCTCTCTCTCTCTCTTTCTC